TGCAATCATTTGGGGAGTGAACTGGGGATGGAAGATCCCTCTCTGTCTCTCCTTCACTCCCTGTAACTCTGCTTTTCACATAAATAAATCAATCTTAAAAAATATGAATAAATGTCCACCTACTTAAAAACCCCAGATTAAAAAAGAAAAGACATCTGTATGCAGGTTTCTATGTGGATGTGTTTTCAACTCCTTTGGGGAAATACCATGACTGTTGGGATCATCTGGTATGAGTATGTTTAGTTTGGTAAGAAACTGCCAAGCCGTCTTCCAAAGTGGTTATACCATTGTGCGTTCCCACCAAAAATGAATGAATTTCTGTTGCCCTGTGTTCTCACCAACATTTGATGTTGTCAGTGTTCTGGATTTGGGCCATTCTAAAAAACCATGAAGGATTTTAAGCCACAAAAAAGTTAGGGAGAGGCTAATCCCAGTTATAGAGAGTAAAAAAATATGATACAGCCACTGTGGCTGGAATGGATTATTGGAACTTGGACTTTATCCTGAATGTCAAGAGTAGCTTTTGAAGACTGTTAAATTGGAGAATGCCCTCTTTGATGGATTAAATGTGGCCTCCAAAAAGACATATCTGCTTGGAACCTGTGAATGTCATCTTCTTTGGCAAAAGGATCCTTTTAAAAATAATTACTTATTGGAAAGGTAGAGTTAGAGAGAGAGAGAGAGAGAGAGAGAGAGATCTTCCATCCGCTGGTTCTTTCCCCAGATGGTTACAAAGGCTAGGGCTAGATCAAGCCAAAGTCAGGAGCCTGGAACTCCATCCTGGTCTCCCATTTGGATGGCAGGGGCCCAAGCTCTTGAGCCATCCTCTACTGCTTTCCCAGGTGCGTTAGCAGGGAGCAGCTGGGACTCGAACAGGCGTCCACGTGGGATTGCATGTGGTGGCTTAATCAGCAATGGCACATTGCTGGAGTGATCTGTCTGCAAACAAAGAAATGCCAAGAATTGCTGGCAGCCACCAGAAGAGAGGAGAGATGTGGAACGAATTGTTCCTCAGAGCATCCAGAAGGAACCAACTTTGAAGATACCTTGATTTCAGACTTTTGACCTCCAGAACTGTGAGAAAATAAATTTTCTGTTGTTTTAAGCCACCCGATTTGGGGGTAATTAGTAATGGCAGCCCTACCAAACTAATACACCCTGGGCCATATAATTCAGTTTTCTTGAGACTCCCTGTCAATAAGTGTTTTTTTTTTTTTTTTTTTTTTGCAGGTAGAGTTAGACAGTGAGAGAGAGAGAGAGACAGAGAGAAAGGTCTTCCTTTTACTGTTGGTTCACCCCACCAAGTGGCTGCTGCTGCTGGCGCATTGCGGCCGGCGCGCTGCGCCAATCCAAAGCCAGGAGCCAGGTGCTTCTCCTGGTCTCCCATGGGGTGCAGGGCCCAAGGTCCTGGGCCATCCTCCACTGCACTCCCGGGCCACAGCAGAGAGCTGGACTGGAAAAGGAGCAACCGGGACAGAATCCGGCACCCTGACCGAGACTAGAACCCAGTGTGCTGGCGCCGCAGGTGGAGGATTAGCCTAGTGAGCCAGGGCACCGGCCCTATCAATAAGTTTTTAAAAGTGTTATTTATTTGAAAGGCACAGTGAGAGAGAGAGAGAGAGAGAGAGAGTCTTCCATCCATATATCTTCCAGTCTCTGGTTCATTCCCCAAGAGCTCACAACAGCCAGGGCTGGGCCAGGCTGAAGCCTGAGGCCAGGAACTCACTCCATCTGGTAAGTACATCCCAAGTACTTGCAGCCTCCCAAGGTACAAGTTACCAGGAAGCTAATGGGGACGCGGAGGTGGGACTTGAACCTGGGTACTCTGATGTAGGATATGGGCGTCCCAAGTGGCAGCCTAATCACTGTGCTACAATGCTTACCTCTCAAGTACTCTGCTCTACCTGATATCCTTTTCTGTCTGGTAAAATTTGACTCAATCTTTAAGATTCCACTCAGCAGGTAAAGCCACCGCCTGCATTGCTGGCATCTCATATGGGCTCCAGT